AAGACTTGTTGATTTTTCATTTGTTTAGCTTTTTACTTACCATGAGGCACTAACGACTTGTAAGCTTTTACACTGAAAGCCAGGAGTCCTCCCTCCTATTTACCCCCAAAACACTCCCCTCTCTGCAGACCAAGGGGCGTTTTATTTTATTTGCCTCACTTAGGCTCTTTCCACTAACTCCAGACTCTTGTCGAGCACACAGAGAATACGTCCTGCGTCAACTTTCTCCAACAGAATCAGCCAGAGATCGTGCTGTTGTGCCCTCTCGGGCGGCATCCTGCCGGCTTCGAGAGGGGGGCATGGATTTGGGAGACGTCTGGGCCCAGTGAAGTTGCTGTCTTCTCAGAGCTCTCCTTAATCCACTTGTGCCCGGTGAGCTGCCAAATCAAATTTAGATTCTGCCTCTTCTCTCTCTCTCTCTCTCTCTCTCTCGGACTCTCTCTCTCTCTCTCTCTCTCTCTCTCTCGGTCTCTCTCTCTGTCTTCCTGCTGGCCCAATTTCCCATTCCTTCTGCTCTCTCTTCCTCACCCGGCATTCTACCAGCTTCTTCCCTGCAGGTCTCTTCCCAAATCTTCCCAGCTCAGTTTTCACTAACAGTGAAGCACAACTTGGATCATTTCACTGCTTCCTCAGAAACTGTCAGTGTCTTCCCAGTGCTTTCTGGATTAAATACAACCTGCCTCGTCCTGACATTTAGGACCGATCTGCATTTCCGAGCTCAATTCTCACTGAGCCCCTACCAGCAACTGACTCCCAGCCAAGCTAAAATCGTAGACATTTTCCCAACACCTGGGCAATTTCTTATTCTGTGCCTTTGGCTTCTGATTTCAGTTGTGCCACCTAAAATGCTTTTTCAGGCTGCCAAAATCGTAGCTATTCTGCAAACACTTCTCCAAAAACTAACTCTGGCTTAGCCTCATTCTCTCTCTTTTGTGAGCCTCCAGGCTACTTCCAATTTCAGCATGCTTATTGAGGTACTATTGTCTTTTGGGCACCTGTCTTTTCTGTCTCTGATATCTGGAATTTCTTGAGGGCAGTCTGTGCTATAAGAATTTCCACAATCTGGGGCGCCTGGGTGGCTTAGTCGGTTGAGCGTCTGACTTTCGCTTAGGTCATGATCTCACGGTTCGTGGGTTCGAGCCCCGCGTCGGGCTCTGTGCTGACTGCCGGCTCAGAGCCTGGGGCCTGTTTCAATCTGTGACTCCCTCTCTCTCTGACCCTCCCCTGCTCACGCTGTCTCTGTCTCTCTCTCCTAGAAATAAATAAAACATTAAAAAAAAAAAAATTAAAAAAAAAAGAATTTCCACAATCTTTTGCAGCATCTAGCACCATGCTTTGCAACGAGTAGTTGATTAACAAATACATCTTTATTTAAAAGCATGTTGTTTTAGGGGCGCCTGGGTGGCTTAGTCGGTTAAGCGTCCGACTTTCGCTTAGGTCATGATCTCGCGGTTCGTGGGTTCGAGCCCCACGTCGGGCTCTGTGCTGACTGCCAGCTCGGAGCCTGGAGCCTGTTTCGGAGTCTGTGTCTCCCTCTCTCTCTGACCCTCCCCTGCTCACACTGTCTCTCTCTCTCCTAGAAATAAATAAAACATTAAAAAAAAAAAATAAAAATAAAAGCATGTTGTTTTAAGATGGAAATCTGTGGCTCGCAGCACATTCATCACAGTTTTAATGTACTGAATAAAATAGATTATAGTATATCCTTGACACCACAAGAGAAAGACTTGATGAATCCCAAATACTAGAAGTCAAAAATGTTCTTATACGCCCTTAATTCATCCTTCATTATGTTGCTGCCAACATATGCGATTACCCAACTCTCCACATGTTAAATACATTTTCTGACTTAATGGTTTTTTTTTTAATGTTTTATTTATTTCTAGGAGAGAGAGAGAGAGACAGCGTGAGCAAGGGAGGGTCAAAGAGAGAGGGAGTGACAGACTCTGAAACAGGCTCCAGGCTCTGAGCTGGCAGTAAGCACAGAGCCCGACGCGGGGCTCGAACCCACAAACCACGAGATCATGACCTAAGCGAAAGTCGGACGCTTAACAGACTAAGCCACCCAGGAGCCCCCATTTTCTGTCTTTACTTATCTTTTTCTCTTACCTGATGACCATTTGACCCAAAGATACAAAGTTTTTAGTAACTTCATGAATGTTACTATGCATGTGCTGGGAAGACACAAACTAGAAGGATACGGGTAGCCAGTTAGACTGGCAATGTGTGCTGTCCCTTTTTGTCACCCCAAAATGACAAATTACTCCATTATGGACCTTAAGCTTGTTTTGTTTTGTTACAAATAATGACCACCACAACTGTTAAATCCTTATAGTTAGAAAGTCGCTATACTATGAAGCATATTCAAATTATCTGCTTCTTGCCATAAATATAATTCAGTTTCCAGCAAAAGCAACTTCGGGTTTGGACTATTACTGCTCAGATTCCAACCCTGCGTCCCTCTACCGCCCTGGAAACCACACAGCTGCCATGATCGTCAACATCAACATTCTAAGCCACGAGAATAAGATAAACTTTTTCTATCGACTTTTTTTTTATTATTACTGTGGTAGAATACACACGACATAAATTTACCGCTAGGGACATTTAGTACATTCACACGATTGTGTAACCCTCGTCACTATCTCATCCCAGATCTATTGACCTTTTGTTTTTTCTTTTCCTAATGGCTTTTTGCTAAAATCAATTTGAACTAGTTTCCATAATGTAGGCAGATATTAATTTTGCAGAATTCCTCACCAGCTTTTATAAACTGAACAAGTAAACAGTCCACAAGAAAGAATCACTGTTTGGTCCCTCCGCCGGTCTGTGTAGAAGCATTTTGAAAGTAATATGTACTTGGGGGTCAGTGGCCTTGGGAGGGTCTGACAAGGTGGCTTCCAGCTCCTGGCAGCTCGCTTCTGGAACTGTAAGAAACCTGGGTAAGGCACAGGAGACGCAAGCCCTTGGCACATTTTCACCTAGGCCAAGTCACACCATTAAACCTCAGTTAGGAAATATCAATAACTTCTGAAAAGTGGATTGCCGTTTAGCGTATTACCAGCTGTCAGCACCTCAGGAACTAAATTGAATGGCCAGGGAATTGAGATATGAAAAGTGAAGGGAAAAAAATCACAAGGGCCTCCTTTAATACCACTTGAGACGTGTCCCCCACACACACTCCCCTCACCACCCCTCCCTGACAACTGAATACACCACAAATAGGAAAAACAGAAGTTTTGTTTTGTTTTTAAAGAAACAGGGACAGAGCGGTTATAAAATTCTAGAAGTATAAAAGCTGATGCCTCAAAAACCACTACTCCTTCTACTCTTATATTTTATAATATAAACCAGATGTTTTGCGTTTTTCCCAATAGCTTCTTTCAGAGAAATATTGCTTTGGTATTTGGCATGTTTTTGACCTTAGGCAAATTATTCCTACCTATTGATGTCTCAATCGTCACAAATGTTGTTTTCAGAAAATTCTAAAAGTAAATATCCCCTAACTGGGCTGATCCAGGTATCCATTTTAACATTTAATATTTATCATATAACAGGGAAATGGTTTTGAAAAATTGGAATTTAATGAGAAAAGAATGCATTTATGTAAGCCCTTTGACCCAGCGATACCCAATTCTTTGGAAAATCATTTGGGAAACATTAGCCCAATAGGGCTGTTGGCAAATTGAGATCGAAGGAGTGGCCCAACATATATAAAAATGTCTGAGGTCTCTGTAACGGTGGATTTTGTCGGCTAACACCAAAAAAAGAAGGAAAATTTGTGAATTCAGAAAGCGTCCCTTGAACTCGTTAGATTTGTTGTTAGAGAAAACTTTCAGCCAGTTTCCAAATGAATTACCTTAAATCTTCTGGGGTTTCACTCTGAATCTTACGGTTTGTGTGTCTTCCAGGCTCACAGAAAACCAAACGGTAACACAAACCGAGATGGCCATAAAAACAGATAAAAGCTGAAGCCAGGAATTTCCACAGTCCCTGACCCAGACGCGTACCTCTCACGACCCTGCCCCGCAGCCCCCTCGGCCTGATTGCTAAAGTCGGCAGGTAAGCAAGCAACACTCCGAAGCGCCAGGTGTCTTCGTCCGGGTCAGTCCCAGTGTGTCCAGGACACCGGGCCACTTGGGCCTCAGCGCAGCGCGCAGCGGGGGGGGCCATTCCGCTCTGTGGGTCCTGGTCGCACAGCCAACTTAACACAATCGCGTTGCCCAATGCAAAATAAATACACCTCTCTTCTTCCCACAGCGTGCCCCGAGCGGCCCCTCTCATCCGCCGCCGCGCGCCCCTCGGGCAGAGAGCCGCCGCCGCCAGGCTGGCCGCCGACCCCGTCCCGGATGCAGTCTCGGGGAAGCCCAGACAGGGCTCTATTCAAGCCGTCGGATCCGCGCTCCCCTCCGCTTCCTCCGCCCCCCACGCGACTCCTCAAGACAATAGGGCAGCGGGGGCGGGCCGATCCCAGGTCGCGGCGGCGCGGCCTGGCCCCCCGCCGCCCCCCTGCCGCCCGCCGCCCGAGGAGCGCGGCCCCGCCCCCCACCCGCGCCCCGCGCCCCGCGCCCCCCGCGCCCCCGCCGCCCGAGGAGCGCGGCCCCGCGCCCCCCCCCGCGCCCCCCCCGCGCCCCGCGCGCCCCCCGGGCCCCCCCGCCCCGCCGCCCCGCGCCCCCGCCGCCCCGCGCCTCCCCGCGCCCGGCCTGTCTTCTCCTTCCCCCCCCGGGGACCAGTGCCCAAGCCCGGTCTGCAGGCCAAGGCTGTCGGAGTGCTTAATTGTAGAAGCCGCGTTGACCTGAAGGAGCCCAGGAATAGTGGAGCGCTATTGATTCCGGGGGGGGGGGGGGTGGATCGTCTGGTTTCCAGGCGAAGACCTGGCCCCGGCGTAATAAGGCGTTTTGGTAAATAGGTCAAAGGCCAGCTGCAAAGCACACACCGGGAGTCGAAGCCTCGGAACAAAGCACCGTTCCACGCCTTGGGCAAACACGGTGCATCTGCAACAGGCTCACGACGGCCTGGCTGAGGCTTCTGGGGGAGGGGAAGGGGAATATAGGAAGTACACTATTGCCAAAAGATGAAAACTGGGCCTAAATTTTGGTATAAGGCCTCTGGCCCTCTTCCAGTGGGACGTATTAAAACCGGTATCAGGGGTGACACAGCAGGCGCTGCTGGAATGACTCGTTCTCCTGACATGGCCACCCCGAGAGCTGGCGAGCTGCCCCGCTCCACCCATCTCTGATCTCACCACAACATGTAAGCATCTGGTACATTCATCATCTTCTCTGGGCCATGAATGGATGCTTAGGACGTAGATAATGTAGCAGGGATATATGTGTGTATTCTTATGCAGATAAGACAATTATTTCATAATAGAAATGGAACCTGAATCATCTTTGCCTGACTTCTGATCCTGCCAGGGCTGCAGAAAAACACTCGCTGATACGTTCGATAGTCAGGAAATGGGAGCACAGAAGGAGAGAGAGATTACAGGCCACTCTGTGCATTTGCTACCACGTGCTGTGATCTTCGCCCTTTCTTGTGGATATCTGATTTCACAGGGAAAAGGAAGAGGCAAATGAGAGACAAAGAGGTCCCCACCCAGCATGCACACGTTTCCCATACTAGTGTATATCTGAAAAATAGAACAGTCATGTAAATAAGGCACAAGCATATAAACAGACCAGATGCTATAAAAATGGTTGAAGAAAGAAGGCAGTTGTGGGGGGCGGGGGGAGGGGAGATGAGAGAAAAAGAAAATGAAGAAAGAACGACTTTTTTTTTTTTAATTTTTTAAATGTTTTGTATTTATTTCTAGGAGAGAGATAGACAGCATGAGCAGGGGAGGGTCAGAGAGAGAGGGAGGCACAGAATTGGAAACAGGCTCCAGGCTCGGAGCTGGCAGTCAGCACAGAGCCCGACGCCGGGCTGGAACCCACGAACCGCGAGATCATGACCTAAGCGAAAGTCGGACGCTTAACCGACTAAGCCACCCAGGCGCCCTGAAAGAAAGACTTTTTTGTGAAACTGACTTTTCATTATAACTCTCTTTGTGTCTGATCAGGATCTCCCCACCTTGTTTCATTTCGTGATGACTATGTACGTAGAGAAATAGACATAGAGATAAATGATGGTCTACTTCAGATTGAAACTCAGGAAATATCAGGCTCTGCATTCCTTGTTTAATTCCACAGCGTCAAACCCTTAGTAGAAATACTACTAGTAATTTTTTCTTCCCCTGATCTAACTGGGCAAGAATTGGAAGATGTTGGGGAACAAGGAAGGAAGTTAAAGAGGATAAACCTGTGAGAACAGGTTTCTCTGAGCTTGAGTTGAGCGAGCTGTAAAAAGGGAGAGAGGCAGGAGACATGTCACTGAGTCCGCCATATCCCATTGGGAACGAAGTGGCACCGTGGGCCGGAGAGCCTGGGTGTTTTCTAAGAAGGGGGATATGTGTTGAGTACAAGCTTATTTGAGGGAAATCAATACCCAACCAACCTCTGATGGGCATCATAAATTAGGTGTTTATTGCTTGGGAGATAACCTTTGCCTGCCTCATGCTTAGAGTAGTTTCTCTCAAAATGTAAAGTTAGGAAGATGCGACCAATGTAAAAGGTATTTCATTGTGATTGAGATCTTTTTCTCGCATGTATGGGATATAACAGCCCCTATGGCTCAGCTCTGATCCTCGCCTGTAAACCTCTGCAGATGTCACAGCTTTGTCAACATGGAGGGTGATTATGAATTTTTATCCAGATAAACTTAGGGATCCTTGACTGATGTGTCAGAAATCTTTTTAATTTTTGGTCCTGTTTTGGATCAACTTATTGCCCTTTCAGCTGCAGAGAAATGAATGTTCTCTGGGGAGAGTGATCCTTACACACCCCTTGCATTTGCCACTGACTGCTACATGGAGATAGCCACTGGGCACCGATCCATCAATCCATCCCATTCTCCTGGAGCCCTCTGGGTATCTCCCATTCCTTGCGACTGCTTGAGAGTCCTTCCCCACAAGCTTGGCCATTGATTACATGCTGCCTTTGGAAGAGATGTGTCAAGATTACAGCATGATCATAGAAACCATGTGTGCTCACTGGAACAGAAATAGAAAAGCTCGTGCTGGGGTGGCTTAGTTGGTTAAGTGTCCCCTCTTGGTTTTGATTCAAGTCACCATCTCACGTTTCATGAGTTTGAGCCCTGCATCAGGCTCTGTGCGGACAGTATGGAGCCTGAATGGAATTCTATTTCTACCTCCCTCTCTGGCCCTCCCCTGCTCTCTCTCTCTCTCAAAATAAAAAAATAAACTTTAAAAACTTTTTTTAAAGAAATAGAAAGCATTTTAAAAAGGGAGAGAATCATTTCTATTTCCTAAGTGTGCCCATCCCTCAGATTCTGTAAGATCAGATAGCTCTTTAGAAGCCTTTTCTGTTGAGCCAAACTGGTAGTAAATTTTTCTTTCTCTGAATTCCTATGGGTTTTATTCATTTAACAATTGTTAAATGCTTACTAAATGTCAGGAACTTTACATGCATATTTATTTTTACCAACAACCCTGCAAGGTAACCATTATTATCCATCCATTCCCATCCCTAGCCTACACTACCATTAAAAAAAATTTTTTTAATGTTCATTTACTTTTGAGAGAGAGAGAGAGAGAGAGACAGAGCACCAGACGGGGAGGGGCAGAGACACACAGAATCCAAAACAGGCTCCAGGCTCCATGCTGTCAACCCAGAGCCCAACACAGAGCCCCAACTCACGAACCGTGAGATCATGACCTGAACCAAAGTCGGATGCCTCACCAACTGAGCCACCAAGGCACCTCCTTACACCACTATTTTAAAGATGGAAAAATCGAGGTCAAATAAGTTAAATAACTTGGTAATGATCATGCTGCTAGCAAAGAGTTCAAGTTCAAACACAGGTCAAAATCAGACAGAAGATCTCACTCTTTCTATGGAAAAAGGCTGGCTGAGCTTTCTGAGCCAGAGACCTCCCCGTCTAATGGAGGAGATAGAATTTATTTGTATATTTTATTCTTAACTACCACTTTTTAACATATTAGGTCCCATATTAGACAATTGGCTCACGAAAACCCAACTCTGTACCAGGTAATGCCTGTCTTCTTCGAGACTCTACAGCCATGCACCGCAAGCACCTTGCAAGCACTCAGGAAGGAGTGATGGATAGATCTGTGAATACGGAAGGAATGAGTAAATAAATAAATATACTTCACGAAGGATCATTGCCCGCTTCTGTTTGCTAGTTTCTTTACAAACATAGCGAATGATCAATGTGTTTAAAGTACTGTCGTTGTTTCAGAAGCTATTAGAAAAAGCCAGGGAAAGGAAATCTGAAACCCTATGGTTTATATACCTACAATTACTAACAGGTCACACCCCTGACTATGGTAATTTCCATGAGCACAGAGACTATGATAAGTGCAAGCAGTCTAGAAAATAGCAATGTATTGTACAACTTGTCTAATATTCAAGGAGACTGTAAAATGTTTTTTCCTGAAGCGGAGGACATATATCTGATTCTGCCTGAACTTGACAACCAAGTAACTAACAAAGGAACTGAAACTTACATGGATTGTACTCAGAAACTTTTACTTCCAGGTGAAGCCCAATGATATATTTTTTTATCATAAACATAATAAATGTAAAAATCAGATGAAAGGAATTCTACTCAGAAGAAGGGCTTAAAAACTACCTTATCAATATTATCAATAAATGATAGCCAAATACCAAAAAATGTATAAACTTCAATGAAAGAAAGCTTATCATTGCCATTGTTCTTTATTATTCCTTTTCACTATGCTTGATTTTCCTAGAGATTTGAGATATTTGACCTAAGGACAATAGTTAAGCAGTTCTATTTGGAAGAGAGTTTGTTTGCTACCAAATATATACTTATGGTGCTTAGTGTCATTTTATTTCATGTTATGATGTGAGCTGGGAAGTGTGATTTTATTCATTGCATGAGCACCATAATTAAAACCCCTTTGGTGCTATATATGGAAAGCAGTGAATGGGCCCATTAAACATGTTTAAATCTCCATTCTAAACTTCAATACACTGAATCAAGTTTTTGCAAATTTAATTTGTCACCATTTTGAATGGATCTTTCTGGGCCTTTTTTTAAAAAAGTGAATTAGATAACCTGATTACATTAAGTGAGGTTTGTTTTTTATGTATGTTTATAAAAAGAGCATTACCAAACCAAATATTCAACCCAGGTGGATCATTAAAATACAGAACCCCTACAAATTAAAACATATCTTTAAAACATCATAAACCAAGAGAGATAGTACAGGTACTTGAGAAACTACCAAAGAGGCACTTTATTTCCTTCTGGTATTTTACATGAGAAACGTGGGTCTGGAATTTACCCCCACGGAGGAGGGCTGAAGTAGCAGGAGTAGACAAGATTACCAAAGAAGAAAGTATGAAGGAGGGAGGGGGACAATGGATGAAAGCTCAATGGAAATTTCCCCAACTGGGTGTTGAAGGCAGTGGGCAGAGGCGAGAACACCAAAGGACAAGCCAGAGAAGTTGGAGGTGATTTGGGGGGTGCAGTCAGTAGAACAGGCAGCGAGGCACACCGGTCACTCTGGGCGCTGGAATTTAGTAGACTAGAGAGAAGGCGGCGCCGATTGCTGGCATCTGGGCAAACCAGCCCAACAGCTGCCCACAGACAACACATCTCCCGTGACACATTCACATGTCTTCCTATGGGCTCTCTCTCAACAGGCTGGAAGAGGAGATAATATTAGCATGATGGTGTTTTCTGTGGAGTTAAACACAAACACCAACAAGGTAGAAACCACACCCTCTAGATGGGTTTTCCTTCTTAAAGATGTGTCAGTATACCTTAACGGTTATCAAATATATAGTAAAATAATATGAATGACAAATAACTTAGTATCTATTCATATACATATACGTATCTATGAAAATGCCTTAGTAAGTAATATTCTTTGGCCAAAAAAAAAAAAAAAATGCAAGGAAGTGACACAAAGATATGTGAGTAGCCCGAGGGCAGGTGAAATCCAGTGTGAACATTGTAGTACGCTACGTAACGTCCCCGCAAAGGATCCATGTTCTAATGCTTGGGATCTGTGAATGTTACCTTATATGTAAAAGGACGTCGCAGACGTGATTAAATTAAGGATCTTGAAATGGAGAGATTAGCCTGTATTATCTAGTGGACCCTAAATGTAATCACAAGAGGCCTCATGAGAGCGGGGAGGAAGATTTGAGTAAAGAAGGAGAGGAGGGAGTGAGGGATGCGCCAATGGAAGCAAGAAGGTTAGGGGTGAGGCGAGGAAGGGTCCACAAGCCAAGGAACACAGGTAGCCTCCAGACTCTGGAGAAGTCAAGGAAGCAGATTCTCCCTTAGATCTTCCAGAAGGAACAGAAGGAACCAGCTCTGTGGCCTGGCTAACCTTGATGTTAGCCCTGTTTCCAGACTTCTGACTTCCATGCCTGCAAGAAGATAAAAATTTGTGTTCTTTTAAAGTCACCAAGTGTGTGACCATTTGTTATCGCAGCAGCAGGACCCTCATGCAGATACTTCTTTGGAAAAATACTCACACGTATAGCCCGACATACCATCAGATGTTTTTCTCTAGGGGGAAAACCACAGGCACACCTGTCAGCCTCTTTAATGGATGTTCCTTGAGTGGAAGCCTTTCTCTTTTTCCTGCCTGTTCCTCTGCACACAAGCTGGGGTTGGAGTCTGGTCCCAGGTCAGCAGCCGGACCGGGTACTGTGGGATGGGGAGAGGGCGGGGTGAGGGGACCTGATGAAGCTGGGTGAGAAAGAGGGGGCGGGAAGCTGCCAGGCGCAGATCAAAGCAGAAGGGGCCCCAGCAACAGGCCACTTTTTGTTTGGGGCTCAGAAGCTCCAAACAGGAGCTTCAGGCTCCAGCTCCAGGAGCAGAGGCTGAGGTCAGCAAGCACCGCACTGGACGGTGGGAAAAGCCCCAGAAATGCTGGAAGCCTTGAGAAAACGTGCTGCTTCATCTTGAAACGTCATCAAAGTGCTTGTTGGCCTCAGGAATAGTATTGGCGATAAAACAAAAAGAACGTTAGGAAACTCACACGGTATAATTCTTCTCGAAATAACACCCCCAGCCCAGGACGCAAGCCTCCACAATGACCTGCTGATGTCTGGGCCTCTCCAAGGCCCAGAGGAGGACCCTGGCATTATAAGAGTCGCGTGGACACAATGTGGTGTGTGTGTTATGACCACACAGTGTGAAGGATGCACGAAAAGCATGTGAGAGGGTAAAACCACCCACAGAAAGCTGAGAGAATTGGAAAGGAAGTGGCAGGCAACGGGAGGGCACAGCGTTCAAGGGCAGCAGAACAAAAGACACTCAAGGAGGAGAATGGAGGCTCCGAGAGAGCCGGGAGGGAAGAGAGGGGTGCGGTGGGAAGTCTGAAGGCCAGGGGGGACGGCTGCTGGCAGAAGCAGAAGACCAGAACAGAACAATGACAGCAGCAATGAGGGAGTCACGAGGGTGCTGGGAGCAGAGCCGGGGGCAGGGGTGGGGGAGGGAGAAGCAAGCTGGGAGAAGAGAAAGGAGGTGCCCGCCCAGCTGGTGAGGAGCAGAGGGAAGACCAGTCCCCGTGGCGAGTCAAGGTGTCCCACGCCCGGTGTGCCCCGTGTTGTAAAAGGCACCCCGAGAAACGTGTTCGTATTCATGAATACACACGTGTGCAAATGAGTTACTTTCAGAGGGAGGAAGGGATGGACACGTTAGAGGGGATTAACTGTCACTCGTACTTATTTACATTCTGAAATGATTTCTGGAAATAGTGGAAAGTCAGAGCTGATGCAGTGGGAATTGCCCACGATCCTCCTTTTAGAGGAATCCTTCTGGTGGAAGAGGGAAAACGGAAATGCAAGACGGGTTAGGAGGCTGTTGCCGGTAATCCAGGAGGGTGATGAAAGGGAGCCTCTTCACAGGCTGAGGAGAGAGGGCACCAGGGATTTACCAGGCTCTGGGAGGGGCTGCGGTGAGAGGATGAAGGGAGCACCCAGGCCGCAGGGCGGAGGACGCGGACTCAGGGAGGGGCTTGGCCGCCAGGCTCCACTGGGTCGACGTAGACTGTAGGTCGAAATGGGAAGTGACAGAAAGCACCGGATGACCTCAGTTTTCTCGGTGAGTCACCAGGTGAGGCTGTCTGCTGAGGGTGAGGGGGCAGGAGTTAAGAATGGGTGTTCAGAGGAGTGCTGAGGTCTATAAATAGTCTTCTGATTCGCACTAAGGAGTGAGAGTGTGAGTCTGTCTGGGGCCTTAGAAGCCTGACTGCAACCGCTCGCTGGGTACCAGACACCCACTCGGTGTCCGCTGCTGGCGGGGTGAGCTGCCACAGAGGCGGGAGGGACAGGCTCAGTTCAAGGGCCTGACTCACAGAGCTGTGCAACCACGGAAGCCTTAGCCATCGTTAAATAGTGGTAAGACCTCGAAGAAGCTATTTATTCCAAAGTGGTTTGGATCGTAGCTGTGGATTTTTTGCTTGTGTTTTCAAAACATATGGCTTGTACACGTATACAGACTATACATATACTATACACGTATACAGACTATATATACGCATATATAGAATGAATCGTTGCTATAAATACACACATAAAGGCACACATAAATAATTACAGAAACCATTGGTTCAACACGTACTTGCTGAACGCATTCCATGTGCCAAGAACTATGCTAGACACTGGACAGACAGTAATGAGCAAGGAAAGATGGCTGCCGTTATGGAGGGAACAGCCTGAGGCTCACTACAAGGGGGCATTCAGACTGATGGAAAAGTATAATGTGATTAGCGCTGTAAAGAGCCATGCACAGCACAATGAGAAGGTACGATCGGCACAGTTCAGGGGTTGAGGAAGGGCTGATTCTACCCTGCCTTACGTCACGGACTGGCATGCCCATGTTCTTCTCCCTAACCATTATGATCCCTTTGAAGGTTGTGAGGACCACTACCTACTCTTTTTTATTTGTGACACCTGACACACGACCATGCACACAGCAGGTGCTCAATCAATGCGTGTTTGAGGACTAAGCTGATGCCATGGGTTATTCATCAGCAATGTTAGTGGCCTTCCTTTTCCAGGAAAACTACAGATGGACATCTTAGTAATAACGGAACATCCCCGTTATCTTGAGGATGTGACAGGAACTACACACTCACGTGCCACTAGGTGGGCTGGCTCATCCCTAC